ATATATATATATAAGTATGATGTCTGCTTTAGATCTAGGGCCGCACGGCTTTAAGACGCATTACTAGAGTCTACGACTTGTTTGCTTAAGCATATCTCCCGCGTTTTGTCGATGTGGGATTCGCCTAGGGTATCACATACACCTCCCCCCATAGGGACTCATCGTCCTTCCTGAGGTTTACCCCACTATCGTTTAAGATTTCATGCAGAGTGACTCTAATATCATATGTAAAGTCGCTTGCGCAAAATAATATCGTACCTAACACCTTATAGTAGTTAAAAATATCTTACAAGCTGACACTCTCTAAAACCAAGAAAATCAATTTATAATATATATATAACTGTATATAATATATAAAGAGAATTGACACTCACTAAAACCAAAACAAATCATTTATCTCAATTTTTTGGCTTTTCCTCCTATTTCCTTCATTTATGTACTATATTAAAAAAAAAAATACATGATTCTTCATTAAATATCATTATTTCATATTAATTACAACTCTTTTCACCTCCCCCAACTTCTCCTATTCTGATCCCATAAATTCACTTTTGTTTGTGTCTATATTTCAACTTATGTAGGTTGAGGTAATGCTTCCTTTCATTTAAGCTTTGATTTGTTGATCTGAATTTGTCAATTACGTAATTCAATTCCTACGTGTCTGAATTTGAGGTTATGCTTCAACTTATGTGTTTGCTGGAGAATTAAGGTTGGTTCAACACCCAAAGAAAATGTATCAACTAGACATGATGCAAGACATCGATCTTAGGGCATCGTCTGTCCTCCAAGAAAATGAAAGACCGATAAGAATACCAATTATTATGGACATAATCCGTCATATTCCTTTAAACGATTTTGAATGCTTACCAAAATTATCACGAGAAAGCATAGGAGAATTAGGTCGAGTTGATAGAGCAAATCGTGAAATTGCCCTTATTAGAAGAGACTCGATTTGTGTTAATTCCTGCACATGCGATTGAAGCAATGTAAGAAGTGAAGGGTGGGAAGACGAATATGAAGGAGAATATAAGTGAGAACTATAGAATATTTCTTGATATGTTGATATCAAAAGACGTTGTTGAAGTAACTTGCATGGCATGCGAGTATTTTCAATATTACCTCTTGAACTCAACTTATCAAAACATATGTTATACTTCTCAATCACATTCACCTTCATTTTTAAATTCTCTCCCTTCACCATCTCTATGCTTCAACCACATGCCTCGATGCAGGAATAGGCGCAAACTCGGTCTCTTCCTATAAGGGTAAGTTCACAACTTGCTCTATCAACTCGTCCTCATTCTTGCTTGCCTTTTCGTGATAATCTTAGTAAGGATTCGAAATTGCTTGAAAAATACGACGGATTAATGTCCACAACGATTAGGAATCTTCTTGGACTTTCATTTTCTTGAAGGATTGATGAGGCCATAAGTTCAACATCTCGCATCATATCTAGTGGAGAGGAACATGTGAACATACAAGCATTTGATTTAATTTGTAAGATCATGTGTCTTTGTTCTCTATGTCAAGATATAACTTTTTGGCTATATGATACTTGAAATGAGCGATTATAAAATCCATCATATGTGATAGTAATTAAGGTGCACGTTTTGCATGGCTGCTGAGATTGTCGTTTCGATGCTCGATTGTCCGAAGATATGGAGAAATTTAAAACCTAAATATTGTAAATTAAATTACGATTGACAAGGGATAAAAATGCACATTTATTTTAATTTCCTAATTTGTGGTGCATTATATTGTAAATATGCACAGAAGAGGTAAAGCTTTAAATAAACTTCCATTTTATCTCTTAGTGTTGCGGCCAAATGCACATGCAAGTATACATAGTCGTCAAGTAATAAAGTGATTAAAAGTGGGATGTCGAACCCATGATACTTGTTATCAACTATTAACTAAATTAGACTATCCAAATTATTTAAACAAGAATTAAACCTAAAAGTATTTGAATCTAAACTAACTAAAATAAAGAAAAACAAATAGTAGTAAATTCAAAACAAAGGAAGAGCGGACTTTTATGTTATCAATGTGATGAAAATGACCAAGGGTCATGGACAATCTAGCAATCCTACTGTATTGACTAATTAATTTATCTGGTTTGTTGGTTGACGGGATTATTATTGCTCATAAGAATCTGTCGAGTTCTTACTCACCTATTCAAAATAACCTAATACCTATATGTCTATAGAGTTAGAATCAACAAGAATACATTTATAATTCTCGTATAATAACTAAGCAAGACAATTAGCATATGTCTATCCTAACTGCGAATCCATTCCTCCATCCCAGGTTCAAGAACTTGCTCTACTCAATCCTATATGCAATCTAGAATTCTCACTTTCGAGTTCAATTCTAGATTTTTAGATAGTATTGATTTCCGAACTAGGGCAACTGGGTGCCTGACCTCACGAGGCCAGGTCTGGAACGCGCCTGGAACCTCGTGAGGCCAGGCTCTTTTCGTATTCCCATTTATTGCAAATCGTAACAAGAATTTACATGATCTTTTTCACTTTTCATCTATCTCCAATAATGTCCCAAGAATACTATCGCATATATTCTTCTCATTGTGCATCAGATCAAGATTGTGCCTCAATTTGTTAGTTTCCCAGTACGGTAGTTCAAAGAAGATGGATCTTTTCTTCCATGGACACTTGTTATCCCGAGACCTTTTCTTTTGGCCCTTTCCAAAGACATTCTTGAATTCACGCAACTCTTCGAGGACTTCTGTATCCGACAAAGGAGTATGTGCAAGTCTATGATCCTCCTTACCATCAAATGATTTCTTATCTCTTCGAAATGGATGTTCAGGAGGCAAAAATGTCTAATGACTCATGTAGCACATCTTATGACTATGCTTGAGATATTGAGAGCATGTGCCATAATTACAAGTGGGGCATGCAAATTTTTCCTTTGTTCTCCATCCAGAAAGCATTGTTAGTGCAGGAAAATCACTAATTGTCCACATTAACGCTGCACGCAATTGAAATATCTGGTTAGATTCGGCATGAAATGTTTGTACACTGAATTCTCATAGTTCCTTCAATTCAGCAATTAGTGGTTGTAGATATACATCTATATCATTTCCCGGAGATGACATACCTGGGATGATCATTGACAACATTATATACTCTGGCTTCATGCAAATCCAAGGCGATAGATTATAGTTCATTAACATAACAGACCACGTGCTATGTGAAATGCTTATTGTTCGAAACAGGTTGAAACTATCACTTGAAAGACCCAATCTAACATTGCGAGGGTCGCTAGAGAATTCAGGGTGCAAGGAGTCGAATTCCTTCCAAGCATCACTATCAGCAGGATGTCTTATATTTCCATCATTCAGTCGTTCAATAGCATGCCATTTCATAGCTACAGCTATTTCGGGACACATGAATATCCTCTGTAGCCAAGGCTTTAATGGAAAGTACCTTAAAACCTTTGCAGAGGTTTTGGTCTTTTTATTAGTCAAGACATTAAAAACATTCTTCCATCTAGAAGACCCACATACAGAACAATTATCCGCATTTACATTGTCATGGCCAAATAACATGCAATCATTAGGACATGCATGTATTTTTTTTTATAATGAAGACTCAAATCTTTTATCATGCTTGTTGCTTTGTAGAAAGACTGGGGTAGCTGAGCAAACGGAAATGCCTCTTTTAACAACTCCAACAAGTCTGTGAATGCCACATTACTCATCCCATAAATGCATTTAAACAAGTACAACCGAATCGTAAAATCTAATTTGGAGAAATTCTCACACCCTGGATATAATTCTTCTTTTCCTTCTTCTAGTAATTTAAAGAATCTGTTTGCATCTTCCGATGGTCCATCCCTTACTCTTTTATGTCCCAAATCATCCTCGACATTTCGAAATGTATCATGAAGTAATCCATCAATATCGTCATATATGTCAGAACCTTCTTCATTACTGCTTGGACATGCAGTCTTTCTCGAGGAAAATCCTTCCCCGTGGAAAATCCATTTGTTGTATCCATGAACAAAACCATTAACAATCAAGTGGTCTTCCACCACATTTCTATGATGCCAAAACAATTAGCGCACTCTTTACAAGGGCATAATATTTGTTTTACTTGGGAAGCTCGTTCAAATGCTTTATCAAGAAATTTATTCACTCCTTGTATGTACTTATTAGTTGACCTTCGAAGGCCCATCCACATTTTATCTCTGTTATCCATTAAATTACTTTTATCCTATATGACACCAAAACAAACACTCACTCTATTTCATATTAAATGAGGTACTTTTCTTTTTAGTCTGTTCCAAAACAAATGACACATTTTTAAATTTGAAAATAATTCAACTTTAAACTCTTTTATTTTACCCATTTACCCTTAATGAGAAGCTTTTATAGCTACACAAATGTCATGGTCCCACAAACTTTTTACCCCTTAAGCTTTTAAGACCACAAGTTTCAAAAGTCTTCTTCTTTTTTCTTAAACTCCGTGCCGAGACAAACTACCTCATATAATATGAAACAGAGGGAGTAGTATAAAATTGGCTTATATACTCTTAATAAAAAAATCAGCTAATAAAATCAAAATTATATGGATTTCATTATTGCAAAATTTTAAAAGAGATCACTACCAACCAATAAAGTTGTTTGACTGCTTCTACAGGAAAAAATCTAAATTTACAAGATATATATAAATGCAAAAGTTCTGGCACTCTATATACAAGGCTGAATTAAGTATCATCTGAATTTGACTTGATACTTCATTCCACAAGGATGTTAATGACTTATCTCACATAAGGTATGTCCAATAAATTAGTATCTGAAAGTAATCAGCAATACAAATTATTCAATTACTTGTCCATGGCAAGAGGCAAGGTGTGGCCCCACCAGCAAACACCCACTTGGTTATTAATTATAAGAATTTTTTAATGTACCTTTCTGGCAACACAGAAGGTCCTTCCAGTTATGCAGGCTGAGTCTTGGAACATATAGCTCTCATATGACATATTCCAGAAAATGGACAGGCAAGTTCAAAAACTTAGCAGCTAATTCAAACTCAGCTAATTACATGGATTGACTACTTATATTGTGTAAGAGTTTTTACATATAGAGAAAGTTGATGTTATATTAATCAATAGTCTAGCAAGTGTTGCCTAAAGCATTGATTCTCTTTACCTTTTTAGTTTGAATTAAGTTTTCTTCAAATAATCAAGAACCATTTATTGCTTCTAATTTGTATTAAGAGTGTCTTTACACTGATGAACAGGTTTATAGAGTGGAAGTTCATGGAAATTAGGCAAATGAAATAGAGCAAACAATAATAACACATAAAACTAACAGATAAAATGTGATCAATGTATTTCTTATTCACAAAACATCCTTTGCCGCAGATTTAACATGAAGAGTCAAGTAGCAAAAAATAATAAGAAATCCCTTAATGTAACACCATGCTCGTATAGTTTGCCGAGAGTATAAAACGACAGACCATATATTTTGGTGCTCAAATCCTTCCCGTTAGTTAGATCAAAAATTCCAACTAAAAATACCTCAAAAAACCCTAAACAAAGTTTAATTTGTTTTTCCAACTAACTAGATAATTACAGTTTTACAAACTAGAAATGAAAAAATTTATCATATAATACAAACAAAGGACAGAGTAAATTATTGGGTTTATATGAAACTTACCAGAGAAAGAAAGTAGTAGAAGCGGCGAAACAATTTTCCGGCAAAACAATAGCGAAAGCGAACAACCACAGAAAATATCAAACACGAAAAAATACCGGTAATTTACATATGAGATTCCCTTTTATTAGCCGAAATGGTTGTCCTTCTTCGGAATTCCTTCGTTGAAGTAGGCCGCACAGTTCGTCAATGGCGGATTTTTCTAGGTTTGAAGACGAGAGAGATGAAAGAGACGGGTGCTAATGAGAGAGACGATGCGTTTCTAACTTAAACGCTTAGTATTAAATTTTTTATGGGGTCATCATTTATTTTTAGTTTTTTTAATAAATACGTAGGAGGGAAATTACGGAGGAAAAAATAAACCGTCCCAATAAATATTTTATTTCAGCAAACTGTTCCCATAAATAACCCTATTGTATCGCCTTTATAAACCGTCCTCATAGCTTCATTTATTGTGACATTTACTATCCTATTGGAACGGTTTTGCTTTAGAAGTGTACCAAAAGCCTTTTCACTCTATTGGAATAATTAAAATTGTTCCAACACATAATCTATTGTAACAGTTCTATAACCGTTGCCAAATAACTATTCCAATAGAACCATTATTTAGTAGTGCCAGGCGTCGCCTGGCTTGTTGCCTGGTGCTGGGCTTCATCCGATTTTCATCTTTTCGTGATGTTTTAGTGTTTCTTCAATATCCCTTTGTGCAACATCCATTCCTTTTCACGTCTTACTGATTCTACACATGAAAACAACTTAATTAAGCTCAAATATCGCACTAATTCATTATTAAATACCGAAATATAAGGTAAGTAATGCATTAAAAATATACAATATAATTATAGCCAAACATCGCTTATAAGTATATTGTTAATAAATTTTCTGTTGCAAAAACATCGAGTTTTGATTCTTAAGTTTCCTTAATAATACTTGAGTAAGTGAAGAATATTATTTTTTTCAAAGAAGCACAACGGACACCATGTATTAAAATGTATATATTATAGTCTACGTTACAATTTTTGGGTAAAAGTTATATTGTTTTGATTTTTTTCATGCAGAACAAGAGAAAATTAATGGAGCTTAAATAAAAAATATCTCTTCCTTCATTTTCGGTTGAGTTATATATGTTTTTATTTACATTGATTGGACAAATCAACATCAAATTAAGTTAGCATCTCTTATATCAAATCTTCAAAAGTAAATGCATCAAAATCTAATTAAACCAGCAAAGAAGGAAAAATGGTGATTTCTGTAGATAGTCAAATTTTTAGCATTTGGAGCACACTACTAGAATTCGGCCAAAAAGCGACCAAATATTGGCGACCAAATTTGGTCTGTTAAGA